TGCGGATATGATCACACACACATTTCCTGGTTCTAACGGTTCGCCATAAGGCCAAATTGAGAGCCGGCGACACCATAGCAGTGGAGAAAAAAGGCTAGGGGTAGTGGCAATTCCCTTGAACTAGTTTTTCACCGGCCTGCCACACTTGCCAGCTCATCAGAGGAGAATGATTGAAGCACATTTACCAACACTGCTTTGCTTCCCCAACCAGGATGTACACATCATATGCACACAAATAGACGTTCATAAACAGGATAGAGGTCATTGAAGACTCGTAAATTAGAAAGGAGATCGATAGACATTATACATACTAGGGGGGAAAATGCGATATCTCAGAGATTAACCATCACCTCCGGCACTGCTTCTCCCTGCGACTCGTCGAAAAAGTTCTCCTCTTTCAGATGCTCTTCCAGTATCTCATCAAACGAGAGTCTCCTCCATGATCTAATGTATCCCACGTGGATTCCACGTCAGTACCCCTTCTGGAGTACACCTCACTGCAACTTTCTTCGGAGCTATGATCAGCACAAGCAGATGGCAGCTTCACACGATAGAGTGGTGTTCGACAGGGAACACGAGGCTGTTACACCAGCCCTCTCTTTCAGTACAGTCCTCTCTTCTCCCGGCGGAATCGGAACGCGAACACGGTGCTCGAGAAATAAGGCTGAAGAAGAAGACGGCGAAGACGACGATAGATCGGACATCGCGCTGTAACCACGGCAGGTCCCCGAGGTACGATAGCGCTTGAAGCGTTAACTTACTGCAGTGATCTACCGCGCAGCCTCATTCACCGAGGCTTAGCAATGAGCTACACTCCAGTATTATAGTCGGCCCCGAGCTGCGTCCCACAATAGCTTTTCTCACACGCTGCCCCCGGCCCCCTCTTTCTTTTTGGGTCGTCCGCTTAGTGCCAGTCCGAACTCCGCCTATGGTGCCCTTTCTTCTCAACTTAGACCTCAGATCTCACTACTTACGAAGTTACGGTTCCCCCAGAGGCCCTGATGTTGTTCCAGCAAACAAGTTCCTCACCTTATATTTTACTATACAGTTTTTTTAAAGTCAGTTTTTCATTTCTCTTATTTTTATCTTTTCTTTTTCTTTTCTTCTTTTTTTGCAAAAACTTTTTCTATTTTTTTGATACTTTTTTTTTTTTTTTTTTTTTTAACTTCGTATGCGGGAAGCCTACTTAATGAGGTGGTAAGAGCATCCCCGGTAAGTAGGCCCCATCATCGAAGGCTCCATCTATTGGTGGGGAGCTACACCTGCTGGAAATCGGGTCCAGCGTCCCTATACAGAGTTGTGTTGATATCACCTACTACCTGTGTATGTTCATTAACCAATGTACGTTAGATGATGGGAAAGCCCTGTCTATCTGATCTACGATTTCTCAAACACAAACTACTGCATCAAGTGTAATCCTATTGACTACTTCATATACATGCATCAGTATATTTCTCCCTTTGGGAAACTATTTTCCTCTCCCATTCCTCTCCTCAAAACACATTCCATTTTTTTACAAAGATTCTGACTAGCTGCATGTGTGTGTGTGTGTGTGTGTGTGTGTGTGTGTGTGTGTGTGTGTGTGTGTGTGTGTGTGTGTGTGATGGATGAGAAGCACGATAAAAAAACATACCAAGGAGATACATCATCCACTTCATATGTTTAGACCAAAACAGACATTCATCCCAAACATAAGAAAGCGCAGAAGGACTAGTACTTAGGCGCACTAGGCCACAAGGCAGCAAGGGAAAAGGCAGACGGCAGAGAGCAAAAAGCAGCAAGACAAAGACAATGGGGCAAAAGGAGCAAGGCAGCGGACAGTTAACCAACCAGGCAATCAGCATGGGAAGATAAGATGGCGAGAGCAAAGGGCAGTGAAGCAAAACGAAGGCATGCAATACACAGCCAGGAGAAAGGCGAGGAGGCATTGAACGAGAAGCAGCTGCAAGGCACATAGGCTGGAGGGCACGGGAGAGGCGGGTGGGCAAACAAACAGCACAAGACATCAACAACAAGGGAAAAGACGCAAAGTTTAAGTGCCAAACGGAGACCAGAGCAGCAAAAAGAAAAATCGAAAAAAATAAAACTGAGGATGAAAGATTGTTTCATCGGAGTTGAAAAATCGGAAAAAAAAAAACTGAGGATGAAAGATTGTTTCATCGGAGTTGAAAAATCGAAAAAAATAAAACTGAGGATGAAAGATTGTTTCTTCGGAGTTGCACCGTTGCACGGACTCATGATAAGGCTGAACGTTCGACAATCTGCGGAATCTCTGTATTTGATAGTTTGGGTCATGAACCCTTTAGACCCTTGTTGAAGGCAGACTGTCCACAGCAGCGGCCAGCAACCCGGTGAAGCACCAGGCAACGCTGCAGAGCCAACATGGCTGCTCAACGCCAAAGACTACTGCAAGGAATGACATGGCAAGCGCAGCAACCATGCAGTGAAGCACAAGGCAACACCAACAAAGCAGCCACACACGTAGAAGCAGGTGTAATAGTACCAGCTTCATGAGGCCCTATGCATAGCCCCTGATTGTCCCCCAGATTTCATACCTGGACTTCGCAGTGTCAGATATTCTTATCATACAAGCCCTAGGTACTATGACAGGCAGTGTCTAAATGCCCCCCCTAGCCAAGGTTTATACCCACCCAGCACAACTATCATTAGGGTTGTAATTGTCTAAATATTTTCCTTGTACAGGCTTCATTTTCAGGTTGTAGTTGTGTTCTAGTCAGTTTTTTAGAGTCAGACCTTTTCTAAGCACTTCACCTGGACACGGTATACATATCACTATATGTTTAGGGAGCACACGATCCTATTCCCTGAATCAGATGCAAGCTACCCTGGCACCCGTGCGGCAGGGGTCCTATCCCCTCCATCACACTCAAGTAACTCGACCCTAAACCACTCAATACAGGTGCAGACCCCGCAGTCCCACTCAATACAGGTGCAGACCCCGCAGTCCCACTCAATACAGGTGCAGAACCGGCAGTCCCACCAACCTCATCGCGATTCAAGGTAGGCCACACCTCTATTCTGCACCTACTCCCTCTACGGACCTCCATGATTGTGCCCCTGGAGAGTGATGTTCCCCCTAACCCTGTTCCTTTTTTTTTTCATTTTTTTTTTTTCATATAAAGCCCAGGTTGTTGTAGAGGTGGGATACTAGACGGATGGCAGTCACCCACAGTACTCGGCCACTCGGTTGTCCAGATGAACCCCTTTGAAGACCCCACCCACCCTTCCTCTCATCTTTCTGCCCTTGCGCACCCCCACCCGCCCTGTCCTACCCTAGTGTTAACCACCCAGGACCATCACCCATTGCCATCTTGGCGAGGTGACCTGACCAGACAGCAGTTGCAGGTACCGGGGCTAAGCAGAGATGCCTACCTCCTGCTCAGCCCCGGTTGAAGCAGACGCCGATTGCCGACTTCGGGAGCTAAGTTTTGAACATGCTACTACAGGTCTTCACGAGGGTGCACAGTGACTTCCATCTAGCTTAGTTGTGTGGTGATGATAGAGAGCTGGGTATCCTCCGTTCCCTCGTATGTCAACCCTGTTCCTAACCCTGTTCCTAACCCTGTTCCTGAACCCTGTTCCTAACCCTGTTCCTAACCCTGTTCCTAACCCATGGCCCTCCCACCATCAAACAGAGCACTAAGGTAACCAGCTACATGACCCTCCACTCTAATGTGTCCCTTGTGTGCACCCCAACCGTTTCAAGACTCCGTGAGCTAGTATCGAACCCTGAATCTCATTCTTATCAGCACTGAGCTCAACCTGCTGCGCTACAACATCAAATGATGACATTATGATGTGTGTGAGTGCTGCGGCGGGCCGGGGGACACGTACAACAGAAACTAAATTCCATCTTCAAGTTAGCCAAAAGGGCGGATTGTCTCCAACTTCTCCTGTTCTTTTTCCTCATGGTTTCTGTGCGTCTCCGTGAAAATTCCTCGGAGCTATCTCTTTCCTGTCATAGCTTCAACAGTCTGTTTCCGTCAGAGTCCAACGAATCAGAGCAGCTATCCTGCTAGTGGCTCTCCACCTTTCTTTCATAATCCCTTATTCGTCTGTCCTCCAGGGAGGGCTTCACCCCTCTCTCTCTCTCTCTCTCTCTCTCTCTCTCTCTCTCTCTCTCTCTCTCTCTCTGTGTGTGTGTGTGTGTGTGTGTGTGTGTGCTCTGTCTGTGTGTACACACGCACAGAGCTCTCTCTCTCTCTCTCTCTCTCTCGAGAGAGAGAGAGAGAGAGAGAGAGAGAGAGAGCACTACCAGTAATTGAGCGGACACGGGCGAGGCCCGCTACAAAAGAGGTCTATCCGTCCCAAAAATAAGAAAAAGAAAAAGAGGACTATCCGAGTGGTGAAGGCCATACTGACACGAGGGATTTTTTTTCGACAAAGCTCTGGACGTGAACGCAGTCACGTTCGTCCAGGTCTGGCCGTATTTGCAGCCACATGGATTCTGGAAAGTGCTCGTGTAAGTACCCGAAGACGTGTGAGTACCCGAAGACGTTAGGAGCGTTGATAACTGACCAAACCACGAGGCGAGGCCAGTGCCTGGCAGTTAGGACGCAGGGCCGTTAAAACAAATTAAAAATAGAACCGATAGAACCGACACCATATGCCCCGTGTGTCAAGTAAGGAAAAAAAAAAGAAGCCCCGTGTGACACTCACCTCCAGAACAACAGGAAAGAGGTAACGAGTCACGTCTCTGTTGGCTGACGCGGATATCGCAGAAAGAACAGCACTGGCCTTCTACGCAAGGCCAAACGAAAATCACGGCGAAACCACTAAGTAACTGTTTCTATTTTCTAATAACGGTTTCAAAGAGAAAACAGAAAGATCAGGTCCGACGTGCCGTCTTAGCATTGGAGTTCGTCCTTATAGCCACACCGCCTCCGTCAGCAGGGGCATCTCCGAACTGTCTCAGCTCTCTTCCTCAAGCGAGCCGGGACAAGCTTCTCCTCTTTCGTCCTAGGACAATTGCACGGTGACGTCTCTCTCTCTCTCTCTCTCTCTCTCTCTCTCTCTCTCTCTCTCTCTCTCTCTCTCTCTCTCTCTCTCTCCGCACACACACACACACACACATGCCGGGCGTCTCCTTGCTTGCCCGCTCTCTCTATCTCTCCCTCACTCTCTACCATTCTCTTGCGACCTTGGGCGGAACGGACGTTCCCTCTTCCTATGCCAAGCCAATCGTAATCGTACGTGCGTCTCCATCGCCATCAGACACCGGTGGTTCCTGGGGGTCCATGGTGGCTGGGGTGATGTCTTTTGCTTGAATTTTGATGATTCGTTGTGAATTATAACCAGCAAGCTTGTTGTAATCAGAGCTGGCGGCACCGCGTTGCAGTCACCTGGCAGCCTTCTTTTGCGGGATAGTGGAGGGGGGGGGGTGATGTACTGTAGGAGGAGTTGCTTTCCTTATCTGAGTGCGTAGGTTTAGCTCAGTCTGAGGCTGTGCGTTTGCGGTTGGCGTTCGAATCTGAGACGTCATGGAGATGATGGCTACGTATGCTGCTGGCATCATCCTTCCTGCGAGCGCTTCGTGTGCTGCAGTCCCGGTCGCTTGTGGAGGAATCCCGGCAGCCAGAGCGACGTTTCGCGAAATTCCTCATCACGATCGCCCCGAATGCGCTCCATCAACTGCTGCACTCCTCCTTGGGAATCGCCTTCGCCGCACCTATCTAGAGCGCAGGGAACATCTCCCTGCAGCTTCGGCACCATTGGTAAGCACACGCCACTCCCTTACCCTCAACGTAGGAGTAGGAGGAGGAGGAGGAGGAGAAGGAGAGGGAGAGGATGGCTACAGCTACTCAAACGGAGGTCGCGCCAGGCTTTTCTCGAGAGGAGGAGCTCCTAGGCGTCGTCGTCGTCATTTCACCGAAGGCTGCTTCCCTCCGTGTGTCTCCGCGCCCTTGTTTCCGTCTCCGTGCCATCTTGTTGGGCCTCGGCGCAGCCATTGCTCCGTTTGGAAGGGATCTGATGCGCAACCTGTGGTATCAGTGGCGTCGAACCCTCGCTCTGTGCCTACCATGTCGTCTTCCTTGTTGCATGAGTCAGGGAAAACGAGCCGACGTGGAGCGATGATCGGGGGGGAAGCTCTCGACAGCAGCAACAGATTAACGAGCCACAGCTTCGGGGATAATCAAGGCGATTCCTGTGAAAGTCCTGCTTCAAGGTGCGGTCTAGAACGCAAGAACTCGCTCCAATTCGTGTTTTCTCGGTGTTTTTCTTTCAGCCGCAGCGATGGCAGCCGCTGCTCCTTTTCGTCTTCGTTTCGGACATCGTCGCTGGATCCGGCCCCGCCGTTGTATTCGCATCGTCGGCGATCGTTCTCACGGCGGCCGACGTTCGTCCGCGAAGCGGCGGTTAGCAGGCAAATGCCATCTCTGGAGGAAGAGCTCAGGACGGAAGAGGAGAGTGCGCAAGTGTTGTCTTCTGAAACGTACGAGATTGCCGATGGGTGGAACCTCCACGTGGAGGCTCGCCGCAGCCCGGGGGGTCGTTATGTCGTGACTGTCAGCCAGGGCGAGGAGGAGGGTGTCATCCTGCACTGGGCGGCGAACGACTGGCAGCTGCCGCCTCAGGAAATGTGGACTGAGGACAGTCATCAGGCGGATCGGGATGCAGTGCAGACTCCGTTTCGCAGGAACGACGGTGATCAGGGTGCATCCTGGCAGGTGAGACTAAGCGTGGAGGAGGCGCTCGCTCCTCAACGGCTAGTTTTTGTCCTGAAGAAAGGCGAGAAATGGTACAACAACGGCACGTTCTTTACGGTTGATCTGAAGCCGATTGGTTTAGAGCAACTCGTTGACAAAGTGATAGCCGCAGAGAGCACCTACTCCAACTGGGGTCTGTTCAATCGCTTCATACTGGCGATGGAGGTGCTGGACGGAGCTGAAAGCGCTGGGGAGGATGGGATGGGCTTCGTCTTCACCTGGCTGCGGCTCTCAGCCAACCGTCTGCTAGACTGGTACAGGAATTCTAATTACCAGACGAAGGACATTGCTCACGTTCAGAAGGTGATGACGACGCGGATGATGATGAAAGCGCGAGCGTCTGCTGATCCCGGCGTCAGACGGTTCGCGAGAATGGCAATGGCCACGCTTCCGCGCGGAGGCGGCGACTCGGAGCAGATTCGCATGGGGATCTTGCACATCATGCGCGCGCACGGCATTCGCGAGGGCCACAGGCCGGGGCTGCATGAACCCTTCTTGGAGCAGTGGCACCAGAAATTGCACACCAATACCAGTCCCGAAGACATAACCATTTGCGAGGCCTACCTTCATTTTCTCCATACGGGGTCCATTGACGAGTTCTACAGTGCCTTGTGGAACAAAGGGGGTATTTCCAGGGAATGGCTGCGGTCCATGGACCATCCTATCAGGTCCGACCCAGTTCACCTTCCGCATCTCATTCAGCCCTTCCAGCATTTCTTGTGGGTTCTGAAGACTGTGCATGCGGGTGCCGATCTAGACGTAATGGTGGAGATGAGCAAAGGCTTTTTGGATGACGATCTCAAGCACACTCTGTATAGCATATTGGCTGATCGTGATGCCTGGTGGGTACCCGGGAAGATCGTGGAGGCTCGTAAGAAGCTGGAATCCGTCTGGCGGAGCGACTGGTCAAGTAGAGATGTGTTGTTGTTGGACATTGCCCTTGAGGGGTACTTCAGCTTGCATATGTCTCGGATCGACAAGTCAAGCTTGTCAGGTGATGACCTTTGTGAACTCATTGCCCTCGTGCTGGAAAATGGGTGCATTGCAGCCGAGAGCAGCGAAATCGGTCACTGCTATAACTATTGGGTGAAGGTTAAGAGCCAGCATGGCAGGTGGTCCAAGGAGTGGGCCATGCTCGCATTGGCTGCAGTCAACAGACTCTCACTGGGTCTGCAGGCCTTCATGGATCAGATACACAATTGTGTTCAGCCTCATGCGGAGCGGTTTGGCCTGGCGTGCAACATACAGCAGTCTTACGTCACAAACTTTGGCGAAGAGGTGGTGAGAGGGCATCCCTTGTTCCAGCTGTCCATCATGTTGCAAAGACTGGAGCCCATGTTGAGGAGCACAGCCGGCCTCTCCAGTTGGCAGGTAATCAGCCAAGCGAGTGCACAGGGTGTTGTCATGGTTCTTCCGTCGCTCGCATCTGTGCAAGGGGAGGTTTATGACACGCCTCAAATTGCTGTCATCAAGGATCTAGGAGGGATGGAGGACATTCCTATTGGGGTAGTAGGAGTTCTCACGTCCTCCACAACGGATGTACTCAGTCATGTGGCCATCCGAGCTCGCAATTCCAAGGTATTGCTGGCAACGTGCTTCGATGCTGATGAGTTTGCGTCCATCTGTCAGATGCAAGGGAAACCAGTGCTGGCATCTGGAGATTCCTCAGGGAAGGTCAAGGTAACGGAGAAAGAAGATGTGGCCTTGGGGACAGCGGACGTCATGGAATCGAGTGGCAATCAATCACCTGCCAGCCGTCAGCTAGAGGTCCCGGCAGTTTCGAAATCGCAGGCCTGGGCAATCACAGAAGAGAAGTTCTCTTCAGGAGTTGTTGGCCATAAAGCAGGCAACATTGCAAAGGTCAGGTCAAGAGTTCCAGCTAGGATAAAGCTTCCACCATCTGCTGCCCTTCCTTTCGGGACCTTTGAGCGTGTGCTGGCAGACCCTGTGAATGCTGAAGTGGCAGCACGGGTAAGCCACAAACTGGAGGAGGTTGAGACCCGTCGACGCAAATCATCAGCATTGCCAGCAGAGCAGCTCGAAGACGTGCGCAAACTTGTTGAAACGAGGTTGCTGGCCCCAATCGGGCTGCGAGAGGAGCTCGCACATGCTGTTGTGGGTGCCGGGCTGCAGGTCAGTGAAGATAGAGCCTCCAGTGCCAACGGAGCCTGGGACAGCATGTGGCGTGCAATCTGCAAGGTCTGGGGCAGTAAGTGGACAAGCCGGGCCTGGCTGGCCCGCCGCGCTAGAGGATTTCCAGACAAGGACTTGTACATGGGTTGCCTGCTGCAGAAAGTGATCCCAGCAGAGTATGCATTTGTCATCCACACCATAGATCCAACAACCAAGGATGCGAATCTCATGTTTTGCGAGGTGGTGCCAGGGTTGGGAGAAGCATTGGTGGGCAATTACCCTGGTTGTGCTCTGAGTTTCACAGCAGACAAGCGTTCGGGGTCATGTCATATATTGTCACTCCCTTCCAAGCGATTTGCCTTCTTTGCGATGGAGGAATCACTGATTGTGAGGTCTGACTCAAATGGAGAAGATCTTGAGGACTTCGCTGGGGCTGGGTTGTATGAAAGTGAGATTGTCAAACCTCCTCAGATGCAAGCTATTGACTATGTGGATGAGAGACTCATTTGGGATCCCCAGTTCCGCGATGAGATCACCCGTGGGATTGCACAGGTTGGGAAAGAGATGGAGAATGCCATGGGAGGCACCCCACAGGACATTGAAGGAGTCTTTTGCAACGGAGAGTGGACAGTTGTCCAAGTCAGGCCACAAGTGTTTTAATAATGCCATGGATGGTAGGAAGGATAGACTAGGGAGAGGATTGAGGGCTGGAGTTGTTGGGGGGGGGGGGGGGGGGGGGGGGGGGGGGGGGGGGGGGGGGGGGGGGGGGGGGGGGGGGGGGGGGGGGGGGGGGGGAGAGAGAGAGAGAGAGCTGTCTCTTATACACATCTAGATGTGTATAAGAGACAGGTGTGTGTGTGTGTGTGTGTGTGTGTGTGCTCTGTCTGTGTGTACACACGCACAGAGCTCTCTCTCTCTCTCTCTCTCTCTCTCGAGAGAGAGAGAGAGAGAGAGAGAGAGAGAGCACTACCAGTAATTGAGCGGACACGGGCGAGGCCCGCTACAAAAGAGGTCTATCCGTCCCAAAAATAAGAAAAAGAAAAAGAGGACTATCCGAGTGGTGAAGGCCATACTGACACGAGGGATTTTTTTTCGACAAAGCTCTGGACGTGAACGCAGTCACGTTCGTCCAGGTCTGGCCGTATTTGCAGCCACATGGATTCTGGAAAGTGCTCGTGTAAGTACCCGAAGACGTGTGAGTACCCGAAGACGTTAGGAGCGTTGATAACTGACCAAACCACGAGGCGAGGCCAGTGCCTGGCAGTTAGGACGCAGGGCCGTTAAAACAAATTAAAAATAGAACCGATAGAACCGACACCATATGCCCCGTGTGTCAAGTAAGGAAAAAAAAAAGAAGCCCCGTGTGACACTCACCTCCAGAACAACAGGAAAGAGGTAACGAGTCACGTCTCTGTTGGCTGACGCGGATATCGCAGAAAGAACAGCACTGGCCTTCTACGCAAGGCCAAACGAAAATCACGGCGAAACCACTAAGTAACTGTTTCTATTTTCTAATAACGGTTTCAAAGAGAAAACAGAAAGATCAGGTCCGACGTGCCGTCTTAGCATTGGAGTTCGTCCTTATAGCCACACCGCCTCCGTCAGCAGGGGCATCTCCGAACTGTCTCAGCTCTCTTCCTCAAGCGAGCCGGGACAAGCTTCTCCTCTTTCGTCCTAGGACAATTGCACGGTGACGTCTCTCTCTCTCTCTCTCTCTCTCTCTCNGAGAGAGAGAGAGAGAGAGAGAGAGAGAGAGAGAGAGAGAGAGAGAGAGAGAGAGAGAGAGAGAGAGAGAGAGGTTTCGTGCATGCATACGGAGTCCAGGGTCCAGATTTAATGGCAAAACTTCTACGCATGTAAAGCAGAAGCTTGCTGAGTAGACCATGTGATGAGTCATATGAGTCACATGAGTGGAGGAAGCATTAGAAATGGATTGGGATTGTGGGGTTCTTGAGTGATGGTATTTTCCTGGTTGGTTTCTATTTGGAGCGGCCAGCTGTAGCATGGTGAGGGGTAGAGTACGTGAAAACAAAAGCTGAGGGGTAGAATTGAAAATCTATGAAATCTACGAATTGTGCTATCTTTTAGCTACGTGCTACCTTTTTCAAGGCATCTACGAAGTCTTGAGTTGGTGAAAACAAAAGAGGGACGGAGGTGGCTGGAATTAGTGTGGTATGAGTGGCAGCTTTGCTCGGGCGGAGAGGCAACTCGAGAAAATTTGAAGGGATTGGGAGATTTGTGGGAACTCATGGCCCATGGTTGGGTATGTGGTGAAAAGCAGAAGAGGGACTGTATTGGATGGTTTTCCCTCATCCTTCAATTTTATGATGTTCAGTTGTTTTAGGAATGTGCGTTTTTTTTATTTTATTTTTAACTTTGACAGGGGGTTTATTGGGGCGGTAAGAGCAATCCCCCACGTAGTCTAGCACCCCTCATCATTGGCTTAAGTTTTTATCTATTGGTGGGGAGTGTCACCTGCTGGAAACCGGGGCCGGTGTCCCATCATACAGAGTTCATGTTGATATTCTTTCCAGACTTAGAATCTGACTCAGCAACGATACTGCAAAAGAAAAGCCTGAGAAATGATACCTGGCTGGCTACACCAGCCCTGCCTGGCCTCTTCATCCCTACCCCTGGGACGCCTGATAAAACTTGCTCTCCTAGCCTCGTGGAAGGTTGGGGCATCATTCCTTTCTGTACCATTGTAGTCCAACAAGAGAGAGGAGGTTGTGTGGGATAAAGGGGTCAGGAAATCAGAGGGGGGCCGATGGGCCGCAGGGGGACAGAGGCATCAATCATCTTGGTCGATTCATGGAAGATGAGCTTGTAGTTGCATTTTAGTTGGCCGTGGCCGTGTTCTTCTTCCTGCCGTCCCTCCCACTGCACCTCAGCGATCCATCCCCCCTGTTCCCCTCCCGGCCAGTCCATAATGAAATTTTTGATGTCTGAGATTTCAGCCTTTTTATGTGTATGGTCTAATTTTGTTTTCATCTGTTCCAATTGCGAAAGGAGGTCGGTCTCAACTTGCTGTTTTATGTTCTCTGTCAATACCTCACCCTCCAGCCTGGTACCTTCCACCTCATAAGTGCAAATCTTCCACCAGAGGGCCCAGAGTACCGCTTTCCACCCTAAAGCAAACATGCTTCTTGTAAAGCTGTTGGCTTGGGGTGGGTGCCCGGCTCCACATAACAGAGCCTGCCACTCCCACAGGCAACTTCAAGGTGGGTCTGTATGGAAATGCCCCAAAATATGTCCCTCCATGCGATGTTAGTATTCCTCCATGCCATGTTAGTATTGCTCCAGGGCATTGAAGAAAGGTACGCTCTTTAGTCTCTCAGACTGGGATTAAACCAGACCCTGCTATGACTCCAGGGCATTGGAGAAAGGTATGCTCTTTAGTCTCTGGGATTAAACCCGGCCCTGCTATGACTTCCCCCCCTTCTCATGGTGGTGAATGGTCCATGTAGCAGTAGATGAGTTGAGCAGGGCAGGGTGATGATGCTAGGGCTTCGATGAGCAGTTAATCCCTACTCATCAGGAAATGTCGGTGCATATACTACAAACACACCTGACAGTGGTCAAATGAATGATTACAATGTTCAGCGATGCTGGACCCGCTTTCCAGCAGGTGTCTCACCCCACCAATAGATGGAGCCTCCCTGAGAGTGGTAGTGGTGTCTGCTCCAATCAGCACCCCTTGTACTAGCTCGGGCTGTATTTTGTAAAACAAAAAAAGAAAAAAGAAAACTTGTCATGTTTATAGCAGGGTAACCGTCCGGACGTCCGGACCGGGTTCCAGACAGTCCGGTGTCTGGTGTCCGGTGTCCGGTCCTCATGCCCAGATGGAGGCCCCTGAGGCAAAAAAAAAAAAAAAAAATTGGGGCGGCCCAGGACGTTTATCGGGTCCTAGCTGCCCCTCGAAAAATAATGGGGTGATTTTTAAGTGTCCTTTCACCCCACCGGACATGGCCTAGAGGTCCAGACACCCGAGCAATTTCAAAGCCGCTGTTTCGACGTGGTGCCTGCCGCTGCTGCCCGTTGAGGGGGGGGAGAGAGAGAGAGAGAGAGTGAGAGAGAGAGAGAGAGCACTGATAGTGCTGCCAGTCTGAAGACTCTGACGTTCTGAATTGAACTCCAAAGTTCAAAAGTTGTATATGAAGTTTTTTTTTTTTTTTTTTTTTTTTTTTAAACAACGGGCCCAGTGCCCAAGGCTGATATTCCAAATGATAATGTTGAGGCCATGAACTTAAATTACTAAATCCAAAGTTCAAATTTCTAGTATCATACTTTTTTCAAAAAAGAAATTCTCTGTTTCTTAGTCTTGTGCCTGCTTTGCACTGTTTGCAACTCTGCATGTCTGCTAGTTAAATGTGCTGGTTGATTTGCTGCGAGACACGTGCTCTGCTGCCGGAACTACAGCTGTCTCTTATACACATCTAGATGTGTATAAGAGACAGCCCTGGGACCGGTCCGGACTGTCTGTTGTCTGGTGATGTCTGGTGGCCGGGGATGTCCGGATCACTGGCCGACAGTTCGGACCGGTCCAGACACTGGTCCAGAAGACAGTCCGGAAGTGTCCGGTGTCCGGGTCTGGGGTTACCATGGTTTATAGCTAAAAACATAGATCTAACAATCATCCAATCTACATTTGTCAGAGAGCAATCTAACCCCAGCTGCGGGGTTTCATGGCGATATTAAGGGGCTAGAAGGACAGGGCATGTTGGTGGTTCTAGTGGAACTTGTGCGCATAGGATCAACTGTGAGTGACATCTGAAAGTAGGTGTGGGGGGCCGTTCTGCTGTTGTAGTGCAGGTAGATTGGTGGAGCTTGTGTCCAAGAGGATGTATAGTTGCTGTGACACGCTGAGGTGACTAAGCAGAATAAGAGATTCAATGCTGAGACTCGGAGTAAGAGGATATCATAGCTGCATCACGACTGCGATGCTGCCTTCAGACTCAGTTGTATCCTGTTCTCCAAAGGCACACTGGACCCGGTTCCCAGCAGGTGCAGCTCCCCATCAGTAGGAACGCTTCAAAAGAGCCATTTATTAGTGGCAGGGCTGGGATCGTGAGGGTGCCTGTATGACCTTCAGGATGGAATGACTGGCCCGTGGATGTTAAAACATAAAGGCTGGCAGAGCCGAGATTCAGTATTGTATGACAAAGTGGATTCAATGGAAGGCCTGATGTGGGAGGTTTTTCCTTTTTTTCCTTCACGTTGATGACCCTTATCACAGGGGGGGTGATGTGAAGGGTCAGCAATTGAGGTAGGAAAGGTGGGCCAGTGGAGTATGGCATGCTTGCATCGCAGTGAAGTATTGAATGCTCTCGGTGCTGTCAAGTATAATTGCATGCGCTCGGTGCTGTGAAGTCTAATTGCATGCTCTCGGTGCAGCGAAGAACAGCGTGCTCTTAGTGCAGTGGAGTACTGCATGCTTGCGAGCGACTGGAGGGTTTTCATTTTGGGCCAAACAATTTTGTTGATTAATCAGTGGGCACTTTAAGAGAACGCAGGCAGGGATCCTTCGTCATTGAAGCTACGTAGTGTGACCTGTGCCTATCCAACATGTACTATGCTTTGGCATTCAGTGGTCTTTTCCACCGGTGTACCTAAGGAGCCTGGTCAACAATGTGCAAAGGAGCAGAGTAAATTGTCAAGTCAATGCTGTAGGGGACGCTGCACCCAGTTTCCAGCAAGTGCAGCACCCCACTAATAGCGAGGAGCCATCACAGGCGGCATGGGATTCCTGCACCGTCCTGTGCATAGAGCTTGTAAATGATGTTTCTTCAAATCACCACTACCTCCAGGCTCCAGCCTCTTTTTCCCAAGGTGGCTTTGTGCTGCCCACTGAAAACTGTATGAACCGGTGTGGTGCATCATCGCATCCGAGCAAACACCGATACTGATGCCTTGGTTCCAATTTCACTCATCACTCTGCACAGGGAGTTGAAGGAAGAGGGGTTTCCCCACAAAAATCTTCCTGAAAGCTCTCACTATCATGGCCGCACGGGTGGGAGGGTTTTGGGAAGAGCTGGTTCCAAAAATAGAGGGGTGTTACAAGGCGTTGGTAGCATAACGCCTACTGCTTGCACGGTACGGACATTGTTGGACAGGGTAGGGCCCACCGCCTGAGAAGGACTCTGTAAGTGCCCGCTTAAGCCTTAGGGTAGCTCACCGAGGTTATCACTGCTGGTTCGACAAGATACAATAGAGACGACTCGGAAGACAAAGATGGCCCAACAAATGACAACCATATGGTGCGGAGTAAGACACTCGGACACTCAATCCACACTACAGCACAACAAAAGAGAAACTTTGTTTTGCTGCCTGTCCGTCCCACTGCATAAGATACCCTTGAAGGCACTGCCAACCCCCTTGTAATCCCGGGCCCGGACACTGACCCTCCCCCTCCAGCTGCCCCCCCCTCATGGCTCACCCGCCTCCCCTGCTGCAAATCAAAATGACCCATCTTCAGGGAAAAAACAAGGGAGCCCAGTCCCAGGGTACTAAGGGAGATCCTTGGTGCTGCTGGCAATGGCAGAATGCAGACATCTGCAAATATACTCCAACACACAGCGATCCAGGTAGTCATGGGGTGTTCTCATGGTTGTCTTGAATTGTGTTTTTGCAGTGTATTCATTTTCAAATTTTTCAAATTTTGTCAACTTTTCCAATTTATTCCGAGTCTACTTCGGAAACCTGTTTCAAGCTTGATGTTCCCGTGTCGACTAGTCTTTTGGAGAGTATTTAATGAGTATGGAGCAAAAGCTTCAAAACAGACTGAGCAGTGTGAGGTAGAAGGTCCGTTGCATAGGTTTCCCCAATTGCACGGACAATGTGGTTACTGTGTGATGATAAAGCCTGGAATAACATTGTTTTGAGTTCTCATCTCTTGATTGAAACAGGTGAACCACTCTGCAGTTGTGCTGAGGATCACTCACCCGGCGCCATACCTATTGGCTTGCTCTTGGATCGTTGTTGTCCCATTGAGTACGGTATGAACACGCTGGCCCACTGTGGGTATATTACCAACAACATTATTATAATTAAATTTTAGTTTCATTGTTATCACTATTATCATTACCAGTCTTGTTATTTTCATATGACTACCATCGCTTCTGCTTGAAGATTGCCACGCACACATTTCTCTCCTGCTTATTGTGAATAGAGGCCGTTGAAGCAAGAGCGCCATCCCATAAAGAGTTCAAGACTCCAAGCCACACCAAGAGACAGGATTGGACACGCCAGGCGACTTCAAGAAGCTGTATGCAAGGACATGGCAGGGGATGAGGGTGAGGCAGGGGAAGGCGGTCAGGAGATAGGAGGTATTGGATTGAATATCAGGCGACAGTGCCGACTAATACATCGGCTGCCATCCTGATACATATCCAACCCCTACAAGTGTGCCTAATCAGGTTCAGCGGCCTGTCAGGTACCTCCCTCCATCGCGGTATCCATATGCATGGATGCATCAACTCCCCCTTCCGCCACTGATGCACAACAACTAAAACTACTCAACATGGATATGTGCAATCGTCGAAGCCGGATGCCAATGCTTTTGCAGGGCCAGGGAACCACGCATGCTTGACACGCGAACACCTGAAACTGATCGAAAAGTGGAAAAGCAGGGATGCGAATGAGGAAAAGAAGAACGGGCAGTCAGGAGAAAGCAGCAACAGCGTTGGCACGAAAAAGGAGAAAGGGGAGGGGAAAGAAAGCACCAGCTCAGAAGACGGGGAGAAAAATCTGAAGATC